TTTCTTTGTATCATAGAAATAGACTTTCCTTAGCCTTATCAATTATGCTTTTGCTTACTTAAAGAAAATTTATATTTCACTGGATTACTATCATTTTCTTTTATACTGAAGTTGAATGCTCATAACTGAGTGCAAGTTCCTGGTAAATGAGGGATCGCCCTGGAACATTCCATGAGAACTTCTTACCTGAACGGAGCTCCATCCTTGTCCATTTGCATGCATACTAAGAATGGATACTGAGAAAACTGCACGGTGGAGATGAACTCCAGCCCTGCTTCCGTTTCTGTACTGATATCCAGGCCGGCTTTCACAAAAGAGGAGTCCACTGTGATGTCACCAATTACTACCATGGCCACCCTAAAGATTTGGGTGGAAAAAACCCCTGTTAACATCATATTTTAATTGGGCTGGACTAACAGCTATACTTTCACAGGATCTGAACTCATGATGCTAATGACTAGAAGGAAACAACTGATAGGTGACCTAAACATGCTTAGAATTCTGGTGGTCCCCAAGGCCTAGTTAGTCCCTGGGACCGGGCAGCAAGACTTTGTTCATCCCTGACCCCTTCCCCAGCCTTGAACTCTAGATGTAGGAACAAAGTGTTTCTCAGGTACTATTTTTGATAAGGAGATACCAAGAATCTAGATAAAGACACACCTAGAACCCAGTCCTCTCTGGAGATCAAAGTCATCTTAATAGGAAGTCTAAACTCACCAAGAAGACAGCTTATGTTTATAACAATTTTCTTGGTAAATATTTCTCTGTTGGCAGTCGTATGTAGCTATTTCAATTCCATAATCACTACTTTCCCCAAAGGGTCTCTAGAGACATAAATCTGTGGCTTCCAAAATAATTGAAAAATATTGTGTTACAAAGAACAGTTCCTACAGTGGGCATGAACAGTAGCTCCCCAGGAAGGACAGATATGGTGGATACTCCAGTGATAGTCTAGAGAAGGAATAAGATAGTCAGATTGGATTGGCTAGGAAATACAGCCTCAGTGATAATGAAGAGGGTAAACAATCCCAGTAGAAGACCTACCTCCAGGACCACTCTAATTATACCCACCAAACCCACTGCCAGAGTCAACTCCAACTCATAGCAACTCTATAGGACAGAGTAGAACTGTCCCATAGGGTTTCCAAGGCTGTAAATCTTTATGGAAGCAGACTGCCACAGCTTTCTCCCACGAAGCGGCTGGTGGGTTTGAACCGCCAACCTTTTGGTTAACAGCTGAGCACTTAACCACTGTGCCACAGGGCTCCTTAATTTAATTATAAACTTTAAATAAAACCGTGGGAAATTACCCCCACAATTATACCAGAGTCCTGTGCCCATGCTTTTGTGATAGAGTGTTAATTTTTGCTTTGCAATTTAAAACTCCTTCTTGGTGTACAAGTAGGTCAGAGGTCAGAGGTGGTGTCTTTTCAATCCCTGAATCCTTATATTTCCTCATAATGTCTTATACTCAGCAAAGGCTTAAGACATACTTTTTAAATGAATGAATGAATATATGAAAAATAGAAGATAGACTGGTTAAAATGTGGCTACTGACAGATTTTTAAACATATTGTGTCCTTAATAGACCACAACTACCACAGCCTCCCCGAGACTGAGTCCAGTACAAGTTGATGGTGCCCAGCTACCACCAATGACTGCTCTGACAGGGATCACAATAAAGGATCCTGGACAGCGCTGGAGAAAAATGTAGAACAAAATTCTAACTCAAAAAAAGACCAGACTTACTGGCCTGACAGAGACTGGAAAAACCCTGAGAGTATGGCCCCCAGACTTCCTTTCAGCTCAGTAATGAAATCACTCCTGAGATTCACCTTTTAGCCAAAGATTAGACAGGCCCATAAAACAAAATGAGACTAAAAGGGCATACCAGCCCAGGGACAAGGACTAGAAGACAGGAGGGGACAGGAAAGCTGGTAATAGGGAACCCAAGGTTGAGAAGGGAGAGTGTTGACATGTCATGGGGTTATTAACCAATGTCATAAAACAATATGTGTACTAACTGTTTAATGAGAAGCTTGTTTGTCCTGTAAACCTTCATCTACAGTACAATTTAAAAAAAAAAGATACTGTGTCCTTTTCAAAAATCCAGATTTTTGTTATTGCTGTTTTTAATTCTCCCTGCAAAGAATTCAATTCAGTTTAACTTGTGGGAAACTTCTGTCTAGAAAATGCTTCAAAAAGAAGAGAAAGATGACTGATTCCATGGCACACTCTAAATTATACTGCTGGACCCTCTGGTGATTAGTTCTATTTCTTCTCTATGATTCTTTCCAGTAACGCTATGTGTCACCCTTCATATTAAAGGTGCCACCTTTTGATTGTTTTCAATTCTTGTATTCATAGTTTAAAATGAACCCAAGTTTTAGTTTTATCACTTATCTCACTTTGGTCCCACTATATTTTTAAATATCCAAAAAGATAAAAGTGAATTGTGTTTCCATTTCCTTTTCTTTAATTCTATAACAAACAGGAGAAAATTATTCCGATTATTGCACTGGTTCAGAGACATTGTTTTATGTTCAGAATAAAATACTTTCTTTTGCTTTCCACAGGTTAGATTAGAAAAAATGAAAGGACCTGAGAACAGTTTGTTTGGAAAAAGAAATGCTGATAAAAACTTAAGGACTTCTCATATTTAAGACTAAGCTTCTGCACAGAAGTGATTATCTTTTCTTTTTTTTTCCACTGAAGACAGCAAAAGAGGGAAGGTTTTAAACCCTAACAATAGGGATAAGTAAAAAGTTGGTTTCAATATAAAACTCCTTGACTGCACTGTCAGCTACTAAAGTATAATATCAAGAGGAGAAGAACCCCTCACTTGTGGAGTGTGCAGTCTGTGGATGTATTTAACAGCAAGAAGATTCTTGGCTGTTTGAACTCTACTAGATACTGACCTGCCCATAAGAAGCTATCGACAAAATGACTTCTCATGTTCGCTTTCAACCCTATGATTTAATGATTACAAATAAAAAGCATAGATTTTGAAAAGTCAGAAGGTTAAAAATTCTCAATTTAGGACGCACTGTTAACCCAGAACTGAAACCATTTCCAAAGCTCACTCTTCAGACAAAGATTAGACAGGACTATAAAACAAAAACCAACACACGCGAGGAATGTGCTTCTTAGTTCAATCAGATATGCGAGACCAAATGGGTGGTTCCTGTCCAAAAGCAGGATGAGAAGGCAGGAAGCGTCAGGAACTGGTCGAACAGACACAGGGAACCCAAGTGGAAAGGGGGAGTGTGCTGTTACATTGCGGGGATTGCAGCTAATGTCACAAAACAGTATGTGTATAAATTTTTGAACGAGAAATCAACTTGAGCTATAAACTTTCACCTAAAACACAATAAAAAGAAAAAAAAAAGAAAGAAACATTTAAAAACAAAAAATCCCAATATATATCTCTGCAGCTGTTTGCATAGAGTATTATACATATAATGCTTACCGGTTTTTCACACGGGTTTTGGACTCACGGTACCACAGACTAAACTCCATTGAACCTGAAATATCAATAGCTAGACCACCCTGAACTTCCATGTTGGCCTTTAGTCCAGATTGCAACTGAATCTCCTAGAAGCAAAAATAATAATAATAATAATAATAATTAGCAGCAGCCAACCCCCTTTCAAAAGGCACATTCAACCTCCTGCTGTTAATACTATCATTTGAGTTGTTCTGATGTTAGAGTCTTTGTCTAGCCTTGGAAAGACCCTGTCCTAACCTGGATGGCAGCTAACAACAGTCTTGATTACTGGAAGCAGACTATATTATTTAGTCAATTGAAACTGTAGAGAAGTGAAGTACCAATTGAAAAGGGAGTTTTCCCTCAATCATTGCCTGATTTTGGAAGGGGCAATGATTCTCAAAGTGTGATCCCCAAACTGGGCATTTGTCATATATGCAAATACTTGCCTCTTCTCACCCAGACCCACCAAGTCAGAAACTCTGAGCGTGGGCCCAGCAGTCTGTTTTAACAAGCTCCCTTTCAGCACTTCTCTAGTTAGGTGCTGTATTAAATATAGACAACTGCATCCTAAAATAAAAGGCAGGATAAAAACTACTGGCATAATATAAAAGTTCCAGGAATTGTTTAGTTCATACTAGGAAAGTTAAGTAAGGTAATTTAATTAAGCCTTAACACCTTGCTGTTTGACATTTGAAATCATATCAAATTATCAGTCAAGTCCAATGTGAACTCAGCATTTTTCAGAGGGACAGTAATCATTTACCAACATAGTCTATTGTGAGCAATTTTGTGGTTGTCTAAAACCCACTGTCTTTGCCAGCATTTATTTAGTCCTTAAATCTTGCATTTTCAGTATACATCGGCCAGGGTGATGTTGGCTGCAAATGTTTTCACTGGATTGGAATCAGATCGCCTGGGGACAGTGTTGGAAGTGATAATGGTTCTGGGAGGAAGGCTCAGTATCCTTAATTTTAATATTCTTCCGAAGACCTTAAATTCATGGCAACTGGCAGCATGACTAACTTCTTTATGTAACTGCCCTGCTCAGACTAAACAAGTCACGCTCTCCCCAGCTATAAATGCCATGATTTCACTTTCTAGAAAGGATAGTGTTGATCGCCCTGAATTCTCTCCACTTTCTAAAAACTGAGGCAGTAAATTTCAGTTAAAGGACTTTGTTTCCTATCAGGTGTAATCAGGGGGTGGATTAACCAGTAATCACGGTATGCACCGGCTTGTACTGAGCAAGTTGCACGGGTTTAATTGTATTTCCTTGTTCATCTGTGGTGAGTAATTTCACATGGGTTTCACCACATCTTTGACGGGGTGGGGGGCAGGTGAAATCGTGCACGGCAGATTGGTGAGAAGGCACAATTGGGCCTGCACATACCTTGCTTATTGGGTAATTTGGCCTTGGGTGCAAAAAAAAGTGTGATTGTGGCATGAGCTTAATTTCAGTCTGAAAGACACACTTGGATGAAGGCATGAGAATCTCTGTGCAATGATAAGAACACTCTAGGAGATAGACCAAAAAACCTAACACCAAACTCGTTGCCATGCAGTCTATTCCGACTCATTGTGACCTATAGAACAGAGTAGAACTGCCCCATAGGGTTTTCAAGGAGCACGCTGGTGGATTTGAACTGTTGACCTTCTGGTTAGCAGCCAAGGTCTTAACCACTGCGCCACCAGAGCCCAAGGACCCTTCAATCTAGAACAAAATGTGGTGGAGTTAGGATGTAAGGGTTGTCTCATACATCATTAGTAATAATGTGAAGGAACACAAGTGATCCCGAGAAAACTGCAGTAATCATGTCCAAATTTTAACTTATGCCTATGAACTACAGACCAAGCTATAAGAGCTCTGCATTTGTGTTGTAATTGTGATTGTTCCCAAAGAAGCCCCATTGTGTGCCCTGGCTTGGAATATGTCATTCTTTGGATCTGCTCCTTTCTTCCCAAGTTTGAGAATCATAGACTTCTTAGCCCATCCAGCAGAAGCCTGTGATGGGGAACTTGGCCTTCCCATGACCATACATTAGATGGAAGTCAAAACACACCAAGTGTCATGGAAAAGAAGATTTCATGGCTACTAGATAAAGTGCCTTTTGTGGAGAGAGAGAATTTCCAATGCAGTGTGGGTTTTGAGAAGTGCTTGGGAATTCTGGAAAGACTCCATTTCTCTCATGCAAAGGGGCTGTGGAAAAGCTCTTCTATGCAGTAATAGAGGAATTTTCCACTGACCTCCCCCCCTCCATAGAAGGACAAACCACAGTTTTCTTTCTTAAAAAAATTGAACCACATAGTGCTATGGTTCTGATTTTTGAGGGGTATAAAATAAGTGCAACTAACAGTTTTGGAGTACAACTGTGTGCCAAAAACTTTACATTTGGTGTCTCATTTAATTTGCATATCAGTCTTTCATGGTATGCATCATATCTTCAAATTGAAAGCAAGTAAGTCTCAGAAGCTATGCATGGAGCCAGAATGAAAATCCAGACTGCCTCCAGGGTGGATATTTTTCTACTACTGTACACAGCTCTCGTGAAATCACACCTCTCTTTTGTTTCCTGATGTGCAAGGGAGTCTGTTCTTAGAAATAATGCAAAAAACATAGAGGAAAGGTTTATGTCCTCGTTTGACCCAGAGTGCATATTTATTCAAATTCTTGCCTACGAACTAGAGGAACAAGATATTGGAACTTTGTGTTTGTATCTAATGTGATCCCTTTGATCTTTTACCTTTGGTTCCAAAGGCACTTCTTACAACTCAAACACTGACATTTTGACAAATCATCCCATTGCTTCCACTCAGGAGAATATGTTCTTTTCTGGCTAAAGAGGGTCCCCTTATTAAGCTGACTTTATCAGACATCGTTCTCTGAAGAGTAAATCCAATTAGCCGGAGAGAGAGCATGAGCACAGAGTAATTCCATCTGCCCTGGCGTCTGTGAGTGACAGGCCACCCACTGCCAAAATTTCCTTCAATGTCAGCACTTGACCTAGAGTGGTATGTGCCTCTGAAGCTGGGATGGCATTATTGGAGTGCTCGGCAGAGCCAAGGAGCCTCAAACAGATTATTTGTATAATAACCCCAGATCTGTCAAATATTCCAAACTGACACACTCAGACACTGGGTTATGTTTAATAGCTAGGGAATAATCTTTCTCTTAGAATATGCCTTGGGTGCTCTAGTTTAATGAATAGAAAAGCCCTTTGAGATAATCTAGATGAGAGGTTAGCAAACTATGGCCTACAGGAAAATCTGGTCTACTGGCTGTTTTAGTAAATAAAATTTTATTGATACACAGCCACACTCATTTGTTAATAGATTGCTGATGGCTGCATTCAACAGCAGAATTGAATAGGTGTAACAGAGACCATATGGCCCACAAAGCCTAAAATATTTACTTTCTGGCCCTTTTCAGAAAACATTTGCTGATCTTGCTCTAGATTACTACATACATTTGCATATAATTCTACACTTAGATTCAGATCATTAGGCATTGCTGATAGGTACCTTCTTATATACAAGTGCTGTTGACCTGTTATTATCCCTGTGTCTTAAAATCTGGATCACTTTCTCAGCACTCTTATGCCTTTTTTAGAAGATTCTTTAATCAAGAATGCATCTCACTAAATTTCAAGGTAACCACAAAGAAAGTTAACAAACCTACTCACCAAAATAAAGAAGAAAAACATAAAGTCTCAGTAAAAACAAAATCTACAAAAAGAAAAGAAAAAAAAAATCCACAAACAAAAGGAATTCAGCACAGAAGACTAAAAGGAACAAAGAAAATATCAGCACCATAAAAAAACAGCACTACAAAATGACAGCAATAAACTCACAGCTATCGATAATTACACTGAATGTAAATGGCCTAAATGCACCCATAAAGAGACAGAGAGTGACAGAATA